AATTAAAATTTTATGGAAAATATATTCCTCATGATTCTCAATTTAAAAAAATAATTAATTGTTTGTTGTTCTCTATTCTTTGTTTAATATAGACCTAATTATACAATTTAAATCTGAACATGTAAAGAATAAAATATCCCCTCACTGGCATTAATTTGACAATTTAAGCAGAATGAGAGCAATTAAAACCCTCTCTACTGAGATCAATTGAAAGCTAAAATATGCGATATTTTCTATTGTACTGTACTGTACTGTACACGACGAACAACAGACAGGGATATTTAAAGATCTTTGGATAAGAAATACAAAACCTTCAAAAATAGACAAAATTCACAAATTTTATGTTTTATGTTAAAAGTTAGAGAATTTCTTTAAAAAGTGTAAAACAACCCCTGAATGGGTATTATATGCAACAAGTGGCCGTTAGATGGCAGTGAAAAAAACCTTTTATGGAACTGTTATAGCATGGCGTGCCGGGACACTATAAGGCCTGCTTAGTCTATCCAGGCACTAGGTAGAGCCTATGCACAGTCTGGTTAGTTTGTGCCTCTATACTACTTATGCATTGTACAGTGTGTACAACTGAAAAAATACTTTTTTGATAAGCCTGCTTTACCCTTTCTCCTTTTCTTCTACTTTCTTTTCCCGTTTTCTTGCATTCAAATGATAATGAAAATGAGGATAATACTGATAAAGGTGATGATGATGATTATGATGATGATGGTGATAATGATGATAATGAAGATAATAATGAAAATGGTGATGATTTGATAAGGGTGATGAAAAATTAAAACCATCTTTTACTTAGGTACATTGTACAGTATTTCCAACAAAAAAAATCTTTCTTGATTATATTCCTACCATGAGCTGAAGTTAATTAAACACACCTTGCTTTGCTATTTGTCAAAAAACAACAACTTTTGTTTCATTAAGTGTACAAAAGAAAAAAGTCAACGGGTATTTCAAAGTATAAATTCTGTTAGATCTAACAGTTTTGAATATGAAAAGTTTACACTATTTAACAGGTTGCAAAGTTATAGGGGTTAGCAAACTTGAGTTTGTGGAAAAGACTCAATTCCATTGCCTTTACGTCATGTATGTTTTATCCATTAAGTTAATTAGTTTGATTCCTTGTATATGCCTGGAAACCATACATACTAAAAGAGGGGCCATTCTTTTGCTTGTTATCGTCAAAGTATGACGCATGGCATACAGTGTTAAAAGAAAACAGCGTACTGCATTGTACAAACGTTTCTTAAATTCTTCTCTCTGAATATTTCAGCCGAATATCTGTTTTGTCTCACTCACAACTCTCATAGAAACACTAAATTATTAAAATTAACATTGATTTTTATTTAAACTTTAAACTTTAAAATCAAACTGAGATGATATATATATATATTTTACAGGATACATTTAACATGTGGATTATACTTAACTAGTGGATAGGGGTAAAATGTACATTTATGTTTTGTTCCTAAAATTTTATATTGTATTTAAAGAATTAGGAATAAATCTTGGATAATGACCTGGGATTTTTTTAACAATGTGTCATTAAGAATTCTTTGAAAACCTCAACAAATTTCAGTCTTTGATCTCAGTTTTAAAAGACATGAATTTGAAATTTAGCTTAAGACGTAAGAGTAGTATTTATCTATGATACAGATTGTTTAAGATGTTTTTGCAACAAATTCTTGGAAACCTTGATCCCAAATTTACCTGAATAATTTTACCTTATATTTAGCACTAAATATGTGTGTGTGTGGGGGGGGGGGAGGCATGGTTACGATGATAATGATTTCTGACAATAATAATCATTTATTCATGTTTATGTTGACATTGGATGCTAAAAAATAGACTAAATAAAAGCTTTTACATTGATTTCTAAATACTGCAATTTGAAAAAACATTAGAAAATTGCACTTTACAATATTTTTTATTATTTTTGATACATTTAGCCAAAAATTGCATTTTTTTCCTCTTTCAAATTTAAACTTTGTATTGGTTTTGTAAATTGTAAACTCTGTATAGGGGAAAAAAATGTAAAATTAAGAATTATTTTTAAAACTGAAGAAAGTTGAATGTGGGGATAATTTTTATGAAAATGTATACCACAGAAACAGTTTTGTTACTAAAAATGGCTGCAAAATATCTGGAATCATCACTTTAGAGAACATATTTTAATAATTTTAAAGGTTCTCAATCGACAAAAACCTAATTAAATGGATAGAACTAATAGGGTTTGATCAGGGTACATTTTAGATAAGTCAAATACGATGTAATTTTAAGCTGATAACTGTATTTATCCATACTTGATTTCACCCGGAGCAAATACTGAGTTCACTGAATCTACTATCTACACAATGACTTTTGACAACTAGGGTAGAGAAATTAAAATTTTATGGAAAATATATACGGAATATCATAATTCTATTTTCCAGAATTACAATATGAAGATAAAGAATTATACTAAATTTCGGGGTTCAGGAAATTGAATAACATTTTTAATACAACAATTAGAAATGTGGCTTTAAATTCAAAGTCTGTTGAGGCTCTGGAGAATAAATCTTGATTTGGCTCTGTCACTCCATTGTTCCTTCTTCGGGTAAACAGTTCCCCCTTTCCTCCGGCACCTCTTCCACCAGCTTTTCCCTTATTCTCCTGATTTGGGTAGCTGGGATTTGGCAGGTCGTTGATCTCCCAGATTTCTGGACATTTGTAATATTTTAACAGATTAACCTTTAAAAATCAAGTCATAACTTTTGAATGGCCATAAATGACAAAATTTAAGATTGCAATTTTAATCAAATGTTTACCTAGTCTTGGGTTTTTGTAGATTATTTCATTTTCAACTCGAACCTTTTTTACATCATCATTCCCTCTTGCCTCTAAAGTAAAACAAATTATAAGGCACATCAGTAGGCGATATCCTGAGATGGAATTTAAAGTATTTGAGCCGCGGTTTAAATTAAGCACCGGCTTAAATCTTGAAATATTTGATACAATTTTAAGTGGAACCAACCATATTTAAACCGTGGCTTAGATTTAAACCGCCGCTCAAATTCTATAAATTCGGCCACTGACCTCTCATTTGGTTTGACTTGATGAAAATAACATTAATTAATAATCGATATCATTAAGCTGTTTGCTCATATATATATATATATTTATATGTATTTATGTATATATATATTTGCATGTTAGCTATAGCTGGCCAAATGCCTGAACGGAATTGGCTGACATTTTTTTTTCGTGAGCCCTTGAGAACCCCGGGGGAAACAAAGACAAAAAATGTTATTTTTATTTTACATAAATCTAAATTTTTTCTTTCAAAATTTGATTTTTAAAAAATTCCACAGGTAACACCGGGCACTTCAGCTAATTAATAATAATTTTCTAAACACAACAATTAGAACAACTTTGTATTTATTAAGAAAATAAACATCAACAATGTAAAAATTATTGTTTCTAAAAAAAAAGGTGAACTATCAGAAGCATCTTAAACAAAAAATTACAATGTGAGCGAATAGTTTTATTCCGACAGTAAAAGACTTTAAAAACTTTGAAGACTGTACATTCAAATCTTCATTTACTTTTAGAAGATTTGAATACTTTTTGAATACTTTTAGAAATATTAATTTGATTGAATCTGATAGAATTATCATTTTGAGACCCACAGTGAAACTACAATGATNGGGGGGACAATTAAAAAATGCACCAGTGTCAGTGAATATTACAAATTCTAAAACTTCCAAAAGTATTATTTTTTTCATAGGGTGGAAAGAAATAAGTGTAAAACTTTTACAGCAAACCCTTGAGTTAGACAGGATGATGCGAAGGAAATTAAAACCTATCCTGTAAAAAACATGCAAAACTTTTTATTTAACTTTCTTCTACAGGATGTCTCCCTTCTTTTACTTTCTACGTCTTTTATCTTTAAAGCTGTCTAATGACTAAAGCCAAAGGAATCGAGTTTTTGCCACAAACTTAAATTTTCTAATCTCTTTGGAATCTGATGGTGTAAACCTAGTATATTTCAAACTTGGACTAACTGATCTAACCAAAATCATAGTTTCAAATATCTATGGTCAAAAATCTTATATGCTGTCATGTATAAAAGGGCACCCTAGTTTTATTCTCATCTTTCTTCACTTAAAGATCGACATGATAAATAATAAAAATTTTAAAAAAAATTATCTAAATAGTTTGCTATTCTCATTTTAGCTATTCCTTTTCTTTTATGTTGTTTTAAATTCACAACAGTTTAAACTAATTTTCAATTGGTCCAATAAAATAAAATATTTCTGTTTGGTTTTTTTAAAGTTAACACTTATTCATCGTTTTAAAACTTTTTTTTCTAATTGTTTTTTAATTAACTGTTTTTAATTGATTCTATCTTATTTCATTGTTAGAAATAATTTTCATTTAAGTTTTATGCTTTTGATTATCTTCTAAACAGCGTAGATTTGAAAATAATGAGAATTTCTGATTTAATGTGGTAAATTTTGAAAGAGAAAGCATTCCCAACTTAAAGTATTTGTAGTTTTTATAAAATTCTATGAACTGGGGCAATTATCCTTGGATTTCAGAGATTATACCTAATTAAATCCAGCTAAATAATAGATTTATAATTTTCAACGTCAATTTACTGAATCAAACAGTGACTTAACTTAAAATATAATAAAACATTTTAATATGGTTTCTTCAATAATTGTCTTTTTTGAATGAATTATTAGAGGGTCAGTCAGGCGTTAGCTTTATGAAACATGGATGGAAAAAAAATTTGCAATCACATGTTTATTTTTATAAAAGAAACATAATATTAAATTAAAGTATTATTAGTTACAACCTTCATCTTTTTTGAAAAAAACAATTCTTTAAAAAATATTTGTTGGCACACTAAATTTGAAGCAAAGTTGAATTACACTGAAACATTTTAATAGTATATTTACAACAACTTCGAGATATGCTTTCACTACTTTTTGTATTATTGATTAAATGTGTAATCTACCTGTGATATTAAGTGTAATACTATCTTCAGCACTGCCCAAATTATTTTGTATTATTGATTAAATGTGTAATCTACCTGTGATATTAAGTGTAATACTATCTTCAGCACTGCCCAAATTATTTTGTATTATTGATTAAATGTGTAATCTACCTGTGATATTAAGTGTAATACTATCTTCAGCACTGCCCAAATTATTTTTCCCAATACATGTATACCTTAATTAATCAGAAAATTTAGAAACGGAATCAAGTTTTTGCCACAAACTCTAATTTACTTCTTCCTATATTTTTGCAACCTGATGGTGTAGATCTTCGATATTTCAAATCATGAATTCTGTTAGATCAAATGATCTATGTTTGAAATTGAAGTTAACAGCGTCTTAAAGATAAAGGGATTAGAAAATTTTAGTTTGTGGCAAAGACGAAATTCCTTTAGGTGGTAGGTTTATAGAATCATTTTTTAAGAGAGTGTAGAGTGTAGAATGTAGATAAATAAATAGAATGAAGTCAGAAATGTTTTGTTGTTGACCTAGTGATCAGGAATTGAAGGTTTAGATTCATGAACTATGTTCCATTCCAAAACCAATTTCCCCCATAGTTTTCTGTAGAATATTTCAAATGAATGCAAGATCGTTGATTAAATTTACTCTGTGAAATTCTTGTCATTTTGAAAGAAGCAATTAAATATTTGATAATTCTCTTTATTGCAGATGTATAAATTCCGAAAGAATTTTTCCTGAATTTTCCTTGAGAACAAAGGAACTGCTATCCAAAACTTTTAAAATCTTTTCATCTTTGCACCCTGATAAAGTAAACCTTGAATATTTCAAACTTTAACGATTAGTTCTAACAGAATTTATAAAAGGTCTTTTACATCAAGTTCCAAAGATATAAGGGTTAGAAAATTAGACTTTTAGGGAAGTAAGTTGTTTTATTGTAAATTTATTGATCGATTGATTGATTGGTTGATTGATTGATTGATTGGTTGTTACCTTGAGAATGCGTCATGAGAAGTGAGTGGGTCTATCACCAGTCTGGTAATAACTTGACCGTCTTGAACCTCTGTTACTATCTCAAATCTACCACCTAAATATAAAAGGGAAAGTTCGCAAATTTTGAAATAAAAAAATTTGTAGAAGATATTAAACTTGTATGTATGCAATCCCGGGTGCCCACAAAAGATTAGAATGCAGATATCAGACTTTTAACAAACACGAATGATAAAATGAAGGATGGTTAAGGTTATTATTAACTATGAAATGGAGTTTGAAAAATCTTTTTACAAATCTATCTTTCTTATTAGTTTAAAGCTACTGTTGCCCTGGCTTCAAAATTAGTGTCTAGAGATGATAACACTAAAGCAGAATTTATATCTTCAGCCTTTAAAAGAATTCTGAATCATTTTTGTGATTTGCTTTATTATTTCATGCTCAAAAGTTTATTTTTTAAGTAAGAAAATTTTGCAGTTTTCAAATTTTAGTTGCGTTTTATACAATTTAATAATCCATTCTCAAACTTTGTTTTCTTCTTGTGAACTTTTGTTAAGAATGGTCTTATTCTTATAATAATTAAGAACGAAAAAAATCATTTTCAACTTTTACTATACCTGATGGTATAGCTCTGTTGTTATGAACCCAAGAAGTCACAGGTTCTGGAAATCCTGCAAAAGCTAGTCTCAAACATCTTGGATTAAAAATTCTTCAAACTCAAAAATCTTAAATTATCAAATTTTACAGTTGATAAATAACATAAATTAAATTAAATAAATTAAAGATTCAGCCTTTTCGTTTACAGAATTTTCCATTTATTTAAAAAAATCTTTTATGGTTTAGGTAAAATTAACAATAATAACTTCACGATTCTCTCTGGTCGTTAATGGATAATTTTTTTTAACTTCTTCTCTTGAGAACTTGTAGGAACCCTAATATAGTACCTGAAGCTGCACATGTCAGGACTAACGCTCCTCCTGTTACCCCTGCTGCAGGTCCAGGTGTCAGTAGAACGGTTGGTGGATCTAAATACACCATAGATTATCAAGTTTTTAAGTTTTTAGTGCGGCTTGCATTTTTTCATTGTTCATTTGAAAACAATAACACTAAATATTTTGCAGATGAGAAATATTGATTATTTTTGTATTACCTTAAATTAATGACTTATAAATAAAATTTGCCATATCAGTTCAGCCATTTTGACTTTAATTGGTTCCAAGCAATCACGGCAAATATTTAAAACAATGAGAATTTTATGCTTACATTTGACTTGAAGTATTGTGCGTCTGCTTACTGCTGGGGGAACACCATTTTGTGCAATACAGAGATATGCTCCCATATCCTCCTTACTTACTGACACTAGGCTTATAATCGGTCCAATATACTCTTTATCTAAACAAAGTTATCATTAAAATAAGAAACTTTATCTAAACAAAGGAACTGAAAACTTTATTTAAATAAAGAAGGGCTGACAGCAAGTGTCAAAAACCTTAAAATTGGAACTGTCCAGGAACTGTCTGGGCTTCTTGGACTGCCCCTGGCTTCTGGGACTCTGTCAAAGACTTACCGCTTCTATGACTGTCCCGGGCTTTTGCGGGCTTTTGGGTGTCTGAGATTGAGAAGAAGAAAAAATCCAGATGGTGGTTTGACTTTGGGTTTTCGGTACAGTCTCAAAGTCCCAGGACTGGGTCAGTTCTAAAGCCTGGGACTGTCCCGGGCTTTTGGGTTTTCTACAAAAGACCCAGCAATCCTGGGCTTTTGGGACTGTCCCAAAAACCCAGACTTTCACATGTTTTAGGTTGGGTCTTTCTTCTGATATTTTAGGTAAAAATAAACACCTAGTGTGGGAAATTTGGGTCTTCTAAAGTCCAGGGATTGTCCTGAAGTCCCAGGACTGTCCCGGATTTCTGGAACTCTGCCAAAACCCCAGCAATCCTGGGACTGTCCTTGGCTTTTGGGTCTCTAGAGATTAAGAAAAATCCACATGGTGTTGGGACTAGGGTTTCCAACGCAAGTGGATTTTACTTGTGCGCAATTGCAAGCCCTTGCACACAAGTGAATTTAATTGCATGCAATTTGGCAATATTTGCATGCAATAAACGCAACGGAATTGCGCAAATTCTGCCCAACTTTCTTGCGTTTGTGTTTCATTTTTTTAATTAAATTCAATTTAAACCTTATGGCACGCAATAAATGCAATTCATTATGGCGCGATACCTTTCAACAACAAAAAAATCAATTTAAACTTTGGAAGTGGCATACAATAAACTGAACTTCACTAACATCAGCCTTAAATGCTAGGAAAATTGAATTTAAACTTAATCTTTTGTTTTATAATATTCATTTGCAGCATGATAACCAGATCACTCCTGGCATAGAAAGACTACATTTTAGACTCAAGCAGACCCCATATAACTGCATATAAGTGATTAATAAGTTTTTTTTCGCTTTGTAATGACATCAATAAATTCTGATCGTAAACCCTAGTTGGGACTAGTTGGGTTTTTAGTGTAGTTCCATAGTCCCATTTTCATTATTTTGTGAAAATGTTTAATAAGGTATCTAAAAGTGAGAAAAGAAGGTAAAGTAGAATACAATTTTAGAAAAAATCTTTAAAACCTTGAGTTGATACTTAATTTTGTTATTTAGCCTTGACAAATTTTTTAAACAAGGTCTAGACAATTATTTATAATAATAAGTTTTTTTCTTTAAAAAAGTGTCTCTAGGATATATAAGTTTGTTCAAGCATGGTGATTAAATGGCTGCCAATTTTAAAGAATTGTATCAAAAATTGAATAGATTGGAAAACATTACAAATAATATAAATCTAATCAAAAATGTAAAAAAGTATAAAAATCTTGCTTAATTTATGGTTACCATCAATCATAAAGATGGCTCTTTTTCGTATTTCGTCGAATTATGTTAAACCTATAATTAAATATTGTAAAAAGGTATTTTTAAAAAAAATCTTAGAATATTACTTCCTAAGTTAATCTAAAAATAAACAACTCCCCGTAAACATAATTAGAATTCGAATTTGGAGATGAAATACTGAAACTTATATAAATATCTTTTCACCAGGCTACTAGCAAGGTGTGACCTACCTATGTTTCCGCGAATATGTTTTCCATCCTCCCGCCTCCATCTATAATAATATAATTATCTTAAATGCAATGTACGACCACTTATTATCAATAAAGAAGATATTATTTGCTTAATTTCCGTAAAACATATTAATTACATTGTTCTCCATTTGATTTATGGAAACATAAGGATATAATTTAGCTTAATTTGGAAATATATACCAGGTTTGTAAAAATTGTACTATAATTATACCTAATTTGTGGTGTAGGATGACCCGTAGCTTTACACGCTAAAACAATATTATCTCCTTCAGATACAATCTGATCCCTGCTGGTCAACCCATCCTGGATACTGGGAGGTTCTAAACATACATATATATATGATATATATATAATCTGACCTTTGCTGGTCAACCCATCCTGGCTACTGGGAGGTTCTAAACATATATATACAATCTGATCATTAGGAAATTAATGTAAAAAAAAACTCTGGGTATCAACAGGGTAGTTTCCCCCTGTTTGATATTTTTACCCATAAATATCTCTTTTAACCCATAAAAATTATTTCTGTTTTCAGCAATAAAAACTTAAATTATTAATCATAAATTGGGGAGAAATTTTCTGTTTAAAGAGAAGGGAAGGGGTGGATTGGTATTTAAGAAAATATTCAGGGGGTATAGTATCAATTGGTTGAATTCTTAGTTTTTACAGGACCTCCACCAATGAGGACAATTAAGAAAAAAACGAAGTGAAGTGGTAAACAATAATAATATCAACGAAAATGATGCACGAAGAGGAAATAAACCATTACAGAAGCAGATTTAAGTACACAAGTTCCAACCTTCGGTAGTTTATAAGTTTCGGATTATATAGAATGAAATCGTGTCTTTTACTTAAACTTAAAAATGTAGACTAGAAAGACGACATTTAAGTAATCTTGTATTTGCTTCTCATGTTTCTATAGCGCAAGTAGATAGCAATTTAGCTTGAAAGTCATTTTTTAAAGTGAAATGGTTCAGTACGTACTACGTATACACTGCAAATTGTTTTTACGACTAATTAAAATCATTGATTCTAACAGTCGTCTTCTAATTCCATATTACACGTACATCTTATAAAAATGGCTTACCTACAACTTCGAGATAACCAAGTTTACTCTTCATAGGTTCAGTATTAACCTGGAGAATTAAATATAGATGGTTTAAGTACTATATTGACGAATAGTCACAACAAATCTCATGTATGAACTAGTATAGTATATGAATAAAAATCAATAAAGCAATGCACTTAGTTCCTCAAATATTCAACGAGTCGGTTTTTCTTACAATATATTTATATACAAAAGATGCAAAAATACAAACTTTAAATCGAACGATACTTATACAAACTAAATATTATGAATCAATCAGTTTCATCAAGTAGGGGAATTCTTCAAGGGAACCTTAATTCAAGGGAGCTGAATCACAACTGCCTTTTTTCCCTCTATTTCGCTCCACCCTTAGTTCGCATTCTACCCCACGCCCTGTGAGCTGGCCGGCCAGCTCCCCAGCTCCCGGGTTCGGAGATAACGGATTTCTCCGCGTGGCTTGGGTTAAATATAGAAACCAAACATAAACAAGAAAACCCGTTAAATATCAGTAAGGGTAAGGGGGGGGAAGGCAAAATGGGGTTGAGTGCGAACGAAGGGTAAAAATAATGATAAACAAAATGCTATTTACAGTCGCAGGAAAGATCAAAACATCATTTTCCTGCTACACTAGATACTGCTTTTCATTCTAATAATTGCATTAAAATCACCCTTAAATTTACAGTAGCGTTTTGCTTCTTTTTCGAAAATAAACCTTAAAAACATTTTAATCGTGAATAAACAAAACCCAAAAAATACTGATAACATTTTTGTTGCTAATCTTTAATCCCATAAGCCTTTCTTCTTCTTACATTTTAAAATAATTTCAAGGAATATTTTACGGAATTTCATTGATTTTTATTTTCTAAATTTTTCAAAATCGAAAAAGTCATTTTTTTTGTTAAAATTATTGGATTTCTTTATAATATATAATTCGTTTTTCGAATTTGATTGTCCAACATGATAACACAACTTCACTTATACATGTAAAATAAAACATAAAACAAGCAATTTGAAAGAAAACCTTTATTTATTAAATTTAAAACTGTGGCTAACCTTATTCTAAAAATTGCGTTAATAATTACAAATTTGAAAAGGTTAACAATTCCTTTAAATATTCTTCTTACCTGACACATATAGAAACCAGCATCTCGTGGTCTAACATCCTGAAGCAATAATTAAATTAATAAATCTTGAAAAACTTAAATTTAAACTCTGATGTTCCTGTCTCTATATATCTGCAACCCAATGTCATATACGACCTGAGATATTTTAAATTATGATTAGATTAAATAGTCTTAAGTTTTAAATACCAAAGGTTTACACCATCAGGTTGTAAAATATAGGGATTAGCAAATTTTAGTTTGAGGCAAAAACTCAATTCCTTAATAATTTATAATTCTAACAATGTTAGTTTTATTTTTATTGAAATTTTATTATCTTAAAAATATGTTTTTATTAGTGGAAATATGTTTGTCAAGAAATTCCATGAATGAAAAAAATAGTTTAAAATTCAGTGATGGTGATGGACCAAATCTCTGTAGAGTAAAAAAGTAGATGTTAGTTCCACATTTATTGAAAATATATTTCGGTCTGGGTTGACCCTCGTCAGTTTTTAAGATTGTTTCTTCACAAAGATTAAAAACAAAAAAATAGTTATATAGCAGCTTCTTTAGTTAAAATGTTAGTTTAGAAGAAATATACAAGGGGGTGTGGCCGGGGGGATTATAAACTAAGGGAATAAATATAAATCCCAAAACTGATTTCCTTAAATTTTTACTTATGATAATTCTGATAATTCTGATAATTCTGTTAACTCTGATAACTCTGATAGTTCTGACAATTCTGATAATTCTGATATTTCTGATAATTCTGATAATTCTGATAACTCTGATAATTCTGATAATTCTGATAATATTTATAATTCTGATAATTCAGATAACTCTGATAACTCTGATAATTCTGATAATTCTGATAATATTTATAATTCTGATAATTCAGATAATTCAGATAATTCTGATAACTTTGATAATTCTGATAATTCTGATAATTCAAATAATTCAGATAATTCTAATAATTCTAATAATTCTAATAATTCTGAATTCTGATAATTCAGATAATTCTGATAATTCTGATAATTCTGATAATTACACAAATAACGCCAGAATTAATATATTATGAAAAACAGGAGATTGTTAATTTAGTGGTCTCCCATTGGCTGAGATCAAGTTTGTGTTAATTCTGATTGACAATGTTTCTAACCATGGATGTAAGTAAAAAGATTGAATAATTAAGTCTTCTCCTTTGTGGGCTAAAAATAAATCAGTTTAAAAAAACAAAGATTTTTTGCGATATACTAATAAATTGTATTTAATGAGATTTATTCGAGATTTATAATTGATGAATTCAATATAATAAATATAACTTTAAAATTTAATAAAAGGAATTGAGACTTTGCCACAAACTCTGATCTTCTAATCTTTATATCTTTGCCTACCAATGTCGTAGACCCTGAATATTTCAAACTTTGAATTCCAGTAGATAAAATATTCTAAGTTTGTAATATTAAAGATTTACACCGAAAGGTTGCAAAGATATAAGTGTTATAATATTTAAGTTTGTTACAAAAACTCAATTCCTTTATTTTGAGTTTAAAATTGATTAAATCAACTCTAAGAATTCTTACAAGATGGTCAGAACAAAATCTAAAAACACTGCCTAAAAACAATTTTTAAATTATAACTTTATATTTTACAGTTTATAAAGTGATTTTTGAAATATACTAGATTAATACTTAATCAGATTTATTTGAGATTTTAAATTGATAAGATTAATTCTGACAAAATTTCAAACGAAAACGAAAAACTCGACTAAAAATGGTTAGTAAAGTATACCTTGATATCTAGCTTCCATTCTGTATCTTCAGGTTGACTTACGTCTATTCTAAAATTTAAATCCAGTATAAAGTGCTTTGTTTATTCAAGAATTTGAGCCACTTAGGCTTTAAGGGTGCCTCGCGCGCATCTTCTATTTCAATTGTGAACATTTTCTCTTTGTATACATTGTAAAACAAAAACAAAAAGTTTTCGGAGTTTCTAAAAAAAAATTGTGGATTTTCAAAGCATATTTTTAAAAATTTTGATCATTCATAAACCTTCCCTGGGGTCAGTTGATATCCAACACAAAATTTGGTCCCAATCGGTTCAGCCGTTTTGACGTTTATTTGGATACACACAAACAGACAAGCAAAGTATATATATACATAGATGGCACTACAATTTAGACAAAAGGAGATGATCAAATTTATGCAACAAAATGGAATGACTTTGTGACCTCGTAGCTCCTCTATTTTACAAGTATAAGAAAAATTAATTTTAAAAATTCAAAACATATTTGTTTTTCTCAATAGCTCTTCAATGAAAGGGGTTGTGATTAATAACATATAAGACTTTAATATTGCGTGCAATTCACTTCAGTTTGACGTGATGGGGGGGGGGGTTATACTTCTTAATTATAGACTTTTGCTTATTTGTATGACTTGAAGTCCTTGTTTTGTTGTGAACAATCCCCTGTAAAGTGTAAAATCACTGTAAATCACGTGTTTTTTCTTTGTTGACGTGATACATGATAGGGTTTGAAGCCATGGGTGCATATTTTCTTAAAAAATTATTTCCCACCAATATCTTTTCTGAAAATAATNCCCCCCCGCTGAATTGGGTTAAATAAATTATCTGTTGGGTAAAAAGTATCAAAAAGAATTTGATTTCAAATTTTTCATCTTATTCCCCAAATCATCGAAATTATAAAAAATATACACCCTTGTTTGAAGCCCCCTTGATCTAGTCAATTCTAGTCCACTGTCTTCTGATGTATTCATGTTATAATCTATTTTTTGTAGCTAGTTACCCGAAGTTGTATGTCATGTCTTTTCTGCTATAGATAAATGTATTGTATGTATTGTATGTATATTGTATGTAAAGCCCATTTTGAAAATAAAAACAAAAAAAAAATTATTTCAGTTAAAAAACATACATTTGGTATCGAGACAAGTATTTGAGGTATATTTAACTTATAAAGCGGGAAAATTCAATGGTTTTACTGAGTTGTTGTAACTCCGTTCTTACTTTTTATTTTATTTTTTTCATGGTGCGACGTACCTGTGATTTTTAGTGATAACATGATTGTTGAGAGTGAGAATTGTTTGGGTATCTATTCTGATCCAGGCAACTTTATATCCCTGCAATACTCAGATTTTTTATGTCCCTGTAAAGCTGCATTAGCTCCTTGTAATGTAAAGCTATGGTTCTATTGCTAAACCGACTTTATATCCCTGCAACGCAAAGCCACATTAGCTCCCTGTAATGTAAAGTTATCGTTCTTCTATTGTTAAACCAACTTTATATCCCTTCAATGTTAATGAAACATTATATCCTTGAAATGTTAAAGTTACATTATATCCCTGCAACGTTAAAGCTACTGTGCTGCAGTCATTGTAATTTCAAGTGACCTTCCATTTTTAAATCCCGATTCACAACGGTACCCTTTAAACCTTTATTTGATCAACAATGTCGGAAGGTATAGTTGTTTTTCTTTATTGAAAAGTGATTAAGTCTGACCTTTACCTTTGTTTCTGGAACAAGAAATCCGCAAGTTCCTAGCTTTAATAAAGAAATCATAATTGAAAATATTCAATTTTCAAAGAGAAAGCATGGATAGCTTATACATTCTTGATTAGATAATGCTTTCAAAGGTACTGTTGTGAATCGAACCTACATGCTTCTCTATAAATTTAAAGTCATTTTAAATCACGTCTGCAGTTCCTTTATGGTAGCATTTAATTTTCAAAAATCGCAATTTTTATACCTGATTGTTTGAAATATGACATGAGAGGCTTGCATCCCTTCCAACGGCTACGGATACATTTCTTATTCCGGAAATGAATTCAGGATCTCCTGAACGAAACATTTTTTATTCCGGAAATAAAGTCAGAATCTCCTTAGGGAATATCAAAGGTTTACACCATCAACATGAATGGATTAGAAAATTTAAGTGTTTGGCAAAAAATGCTGTTTCTTTCTATGGACATGTACTGTTTTATCCATTTTTTGTTATTTTATCAGTGTCCAATCCGCACAGGTGGTATTTTAAGCTTTCAACATGACTTTCTGATTAGTTCATGTTAATTCTGCGATGTCAACAAGATGTTTATGTTTAGTTCATGTTAACTCTGAAATGTCAACAAGATGTTTCTAATAAGTTCATGTTAATACTGAGATGTCAACAAGATGTTTATGTTTAGTTCATGATAGTTCTGAGATGTCAACAAGATGTTTCTATTTAGTTCATGTTAACTCTGAAATGTCAACAAGATGTTTCTAATAAGTTCATGTTAATACTGAGATGTCAACAAGATGTTTATGTTTAGTTCATGATAGTTCTGAGATGTCAACAAGATGTTTCTATTTAGTTCATGTTAATACTGAGATGTCAACAAGATGTTTCTATTTAGTTCATGAAAGTTCTGAGATGTCAACAAGATATTTATGTTTAGTTCATGCTAATTCTGCGATGTCAACAAGATGTTTATGTTTTGTTTATGATAGTTCTGACATGTCAACAATATGTTTCTATTAAGTTCATGTTAATTCTGCGATGTCGACAAAGTGTTTTATGTTCCACTCATGTTAATTGAATCCTACTTGTAAGACCTCTCTCCCCTCTGATTATCTGCAGAAAGATAAGAAAGCTTGCCGCTAATATACTTCTCATTCTCTTCTGAAAATATTAGTTTTTATATAAAATTCATTAATGGACCTCCTTCTAGATTTATAATTACTTTCATTACTAGAATCTAGAATCTACATACAGAGTTACCCACAAAGGATAAGACTGATTAGACAACTTTTAATGTCTTAATTTTGTAAAAATGTCTTTTAATGGGATATTAATAGATTTGGCAAAGAAAGAAAGAGGTTTACGGTTGCAGAGGGAGCCATGAATAGAAGGAATATATTGAAATTCCGAACAATCGTCTATGAAGTCTCATCCTTTGTACCAGCGAAAAAATCAATATCTGCGATTTTTCATGCCTAGCATATCAAATGCACGAAGAAGGCAGAGATCAGTAAACAAAAGTATGGATTTATTTTTAACTATTTCGGAACTATTTTTCTTGTCGCTTAAAACGGCTGAACCAAATCTAAGGTTTTGGGCCAGGGCAAAAAATACAATTTACTTAAAATTGTAAAACCACAGTGGATTAAACAAGATCAGATTAGGATTAAAACAGCGGATTAAAAAGCTAGAATTTCAAACTTTAAATTAATTAGATCTTAGATAAAGAAGAAACCAACAAAACTGAATTCTTCAAAACTTTGAAATTGTTTTTTAAGGTAAATGGAAGTTTAAAGGGTCAGTAAACGTAAATTCAAGTTTATTCTGAAACCTGAAAATGTGGAAGATATTGTTGTTTTTATTGGTTTAAAAGTGTTCAATTCTGACAATTCCTATATGTTTTCCTGAAGTTTAAATGCGCAAGCAACTTTTGTACAGAAATAATCAGTTTTATAAAAAAATTTATCGAATCCATACTTGATCAGACAAATCTTTTAACCTTATCCCGTTTGGGCTATTTTTGTCTAATATAGTTTTTTTTTTGGGGGGGGAGGGTGATTTCCAACCCCCTATGATTTTGCCCCTAGTTCAACAAGTGAGGAGTTTAAAAACGTTCAAAAGTATGTCAAAAAAATTTTTAATAATAGTTATTTTTACTTTTGACAAATATTAACATGCGACACATGTTATTATATTTTTTCAAAGGCTTTTTAAATATATAAATTTTAGCCCTGTAGTTTAATTAATAAAAAAGTTATTAACCATTTCTGATTATTTTGAAACATCGATACCAAATCAAGTCTTTAAGATTAACATTATTCACACAAAAGGTCTGTTCTCTGCTGGTGTAAACCTTTGATATTTCAAATTTTGACTGTATATTTTAGTGGAATTAATAGTTTATGACACTGTAAGTCGCAAAGATATAGGAGTTACAAAATTAGAGTGATCAGTTCTTTTCTCATATTTTTTCCCATTTTTTTATAATGACTAAATCAATTGCTCTAATATTCTAAAATGTGCAAGTCTGGGGCTATAAAAAAGGTTAAGGCCAAGGTGTTGCAACACTAGCAGTCGAATCAATGTTGAAAATTGATGCAAATATTTATAGTGTTCTTAATAAAATGTTTTTTTATAAAACCAATATCCGGGGTTTCAAATTTCAAGACAGATCTGTACTCTGAGTCTGAACTCTAAACCTGAGTTTGATTTCTCCGGAAATACCAATCCTGTTCCGATCATGTTCAGGGAATTCATGATATGGATGAATCCGGAATATACATCTTTTCTCCGGATATTTACTCGTCTCTAAAGAATCTAAGGCAGAGACAAAATTACAGAGAATCTGATTTTTATTTTGTTCCTTATTTATTCTAGCTCCTTACTTCTCCTAGCTCTAGCTCAGTACTTTTTGCTCCAGCTCCTTACTTCTCCTAGCTCCAACTCCTTACTTCTCCCAGCTCTAGCTTCTTACTTCTCCTTGCTCCAACTTTTTACTTGTCCTACCTCCAACTCCTTACTTCTCCTAGCTCCAGCTCCTTACTTTTTCTAGCTCCAGCTCATTACTTCTCCATGCTCCAGCTCCTCACTTCTCCTAGCTCCAGCTCCTAACTTCTCGCTCCAGCTCAGTACTTCTCATTGCTCCAGCTCCTTATTTCTCCCAGCTCCAGCTCCATACTTCTCCTAGCTCCAGCTCCTTAATTCTCCTAGCTCTAGCTTCTCACTTCTCCTAGTTCCAGCTCCTTACTTCTCCTAGCTACAGCTCCTTACTTCTCCTAGCTACAGCTCCTTAGTTCTCCTAGCTCCAGCTCCTTACTTCTCCTAGCTCCAGTTTAGTACTTCTCCTAGCTCCAGCTCAGTACTTCTCAATACTCCAGCTCCTTATTTCTCCTAGCTCCAGCTCCATACTTCTCCTAGCTCCAGCTCCTCACTTCTCCTAGCTACAGCTCCTTACTTCTTCTAGCTCCACCTCCTTACTTCTCCCAGCCCCAGCTCTTTACTTCTCCCAGCCCCAGCTCCTTACTTCTCCTAGCTCCAGCTAGATCTAAAAAGATACAACTTTTATCAACAATTAAAACTTGTTTACGTCCCCATATTGTTTACATCTCTCCGGTTTCAGTATTGTATTGAATGTGTGTTTGTGGAAGGAGAGGGGGGGGGGTAAAGTACAAAGAAATTACATTCAAAATAATTGAAAAGAGTGAAAAAACGGGGAAAGAAGCGGATTTTTTTTGCCACAAAATCAAAATTTCACATTCCTTTATCTTTTTAAGCTGAAGGTGTTAACTTTTGAAATGTCAAACTTTAACTATACTCATCTTGCAGTAGAGTATTAAATATCTACATGAGGTTGCAACGATTTAGGGAAAATTCGATTTTTTGGGAAGTAATTGATTCCTTTTCTTCCTTCTGTTTTGTATAAATCTGCAAGCCAGTTTAAGAGAAAGCTTTAAATGGATTGAAGATCAAGGATATCTACATATTTTATAATCAAAGACATTTCAATAGAACACCGTTGTGAATTGTGCATGTAACTCTTGAAATAAAGTTTCACCGGAAATTGTGTCGACAGTCCTTTAAGGAGAAACATACCTCCTTTTATTAAAGAGCTATTCGATAGAAGAAATAAATGTGTTGAACTTCTAGAATGTAAGAAAGTTCTCGAATACTCTCGAGCGTAAAATCAAAACTAAAGCCTTACCAGTAATATTGTATTAAGGTAACTAATCTTTAAATTCATTTTTGTAACCCAAGGGCGCAGACATTAAATATCTTAAACCTAGAAATTTTGTTAGATCAAACATTAAGTTGAAATATCAAAGGTTTTCACCGTCAGGTTTCAAAGATAAAGGGGTTAGAAGATTTGATTTTTGATTCACTCTATTCTTTTGATCTACTTCTTCTCTTTAATGGAGCGTGGTTTCAAGATAGAAAACTAAAAAATCTAACTGAATTATTTATTCTAAAAAGTAACTCTGAATATTGCATGTAACGAATGCTTAGCTGGAGGTGCTAACTAACCTTATAATGGAACATACAAGCAGATCTCAAGCTTGGGATAGATTTTATAATTAGATTTATGGATAGATAGATAGATATATAGATAGATAGATAGATAGATAGATAGATAGATAGATAGATAGATAGATAGATAGATAGATAGATAGATAGATAGATAGATAGATAGATAGATAGATAGATAGATAGATAGATAGATAGATAGATAGATAGATAGATAGATAGATAGATAGATAGATAGATAGATAGATAGATAGATAGAAAGATAGATAGAAATATAGACTGATAGATAGATAGATGGGTTAAATGAAGTATTGAGAAAAGCGTAATGTATCTACTAATCGAACCCTTCATGAAGTAAATGAACCAACCAGATTTGAAGTATAATGCGGGAAAACAAAAAGAAACGAAAGAACGTAAAAAGAGAAACTATAGATGGGACCGGTTGAAACATAAAGTTAGGATACAAAAAAGAATCAAGGATTTCAAATAGTAAAAACTTGGAGAAACTATGTTAAGAAGTAAGGATACAGGAAAGAAACTAGAATATAAACGTAAGGATATAGGAAAGAAACTAGAATATAAAAGTAAGGATATAGTAAAAGAAACTATGAATATAAAAGTAAGGATACAGGAAAGAAACTAGGATATAAAAGCAAGGATATAGGAAAGAAACTAGGATATAAAAGTAAGGGTACAGGAAAGAAACTAGAATATAAAAGTAAGAATATAGGAAAGAAACTTGAATATAAAAGTAAGGATACAGGAAAAGAAACTACTATATAAAAGTAAGAATACAGGAAAGAAACTTGGATATAAAAGTAAGGATACAGGAAAAGAAACTAGGATATAGAAGCAAGGATATAGGTAAGAAACTAGGATATAAAAGTAAGGATACAGGAAAGAAACTAGAATATAAAAGTAAGGATATAGGAAAAGAAACTAGGATATAAAAGTAAGGATATAAGAAAGAAATTAGGATATAAAAGTAAGGATACAGGAAAAGAAACTAGGATATAAAAGCAAGGATATAGGAAAGAAACTGAAATATAAAAGTAAGGATACAGGAAAAGAAACTAGGATATAAAAGTAAGATAACAGGAAAGAAACTTGGATATATAAGTAAGGATACAGGAAAGAAACTAGAACATAAAAGTATGGATATAGGAAAAGAACCTAGAATATAAAAGTAAGGATATAGGGAAGAAACTAGAATATAAATGTAAGGAAATAGGAAACGAAACTAGAATATAAAAGTAGGGATAGGAAAAGAAACTAGAATATAAAAGTAAGGATACAGGAAAAGAAACCTATAGGATATACAAGTTAGGATAGGATATGAAAGTAAGGACACAGGAATGAAACTAGGATAAATGAAATGAAACTGCGATTAAAAGTAAGAATACAGGAAAAGAAATTAGAATATAAAACTAAGGACTAGCTTTCCAAAAACCATATTATTTGAAAATACTGATTTCTATGAATTTTGTTAAGAAGTTTTTTGTACTGTGACCTTGAGAGACCAATATTAGAATGTATCAAGATTTTTGTTTTTGTCTCATGCTGAGTATTGTTCTATAAGAATTCTGAAATTGATCCTAAACTCAATTGAATCCTATAGGACTGCAGTGTAGCGTTT